TCATCTCTACAATAAATCAAAAAATTAGCCGGGCGTGGTAGCGTGTGCCTGTGGTTCCAGTTACTTGGAAGGCTGAGGAGGAAGGATTGCCTGAGCCCAGCAGGTCGATGCTGTGGTGGCAGTGAGTGTGCCACTGTACTCTGGGTGACAGAGTGAGACTCCAAATGAAAAAAAAAAGAAAGAAAGCACATGGCATTGTTTTATGGAGTCTTTTTTTTAAAAAAATTTTTAAATCAGGCTTATTTATTTTTCACCTAAAATGTCTTAGAGGTTTTTTGGGTTTTTTTTGAGTCAGAGTCTCACTCTATTGCCCAGGCTATAGTTCAGTGGCATGCTCACAGCCACTGCAGCCTCCACCTGCTGGGCTCAGGTGATTCTTCCACCTCAGCCTTCCAAGTAGCTGGAACTACAGATGCATGCCACCACATCAAACCTCTGGGCTCAGGCAATCCTCTCACCTCTCCCTCCCAAAGTGCTGGGATTACAGGTGTGAGCCACTGCTCCCAGCAGAGATTTTTATATGTTAATAAATATAGGTAAAGAGGATTCCTTTTGAATCTTTGCTGTACCTTTCCAAAAGTGACCAACTTGCTGGGCATAGTAGCTCATGCCTGTGATCTCACCACTTTGGGAGGTTGCAGCACGAGGCTTGCTTAAGCCTAGGAGTTCAAGACCAATATAGACAACATAGGAAGACCTTGTCTCTACAAAAAGCAAACATTCAAACCAAGCCAGGTGTAGCGGCACATGCCTGTAGTCCTGGCTACTCAGGAGGCTTAGGCGGAAGGATCGCCTGAGCCCAGGGAGTCCAGGGTGCAGTGAGATGTGATTGTGCCGTTGCACTCCAGCCTGGGCAATAGAGTGAGACTCCAACTCAAACAAATAAAGAAATAATACAGAAGTGGTTGACTTGTAGCAGATTTTCCTAAAGAATTCTCAAGTTAGGTTGGATATACTCAGGGAGGCACAGTCATGTGTGAGGGCAAATAGGCTACAGAAAAATAGCACATCTTCCTGAAGTATCAGTTTCACTTGGGGTGATTTAAAACATGTTTACATTAAAGCAAGCAGATTCTAGCATATTGTGGACTAAAGAAAAATTGTATATGAATTTTTAAATTAAATCCTGAGGCTTATATGCAGAAGTTGCAGAAAGTCGTTTGGACTTCTTCCAGGTCTCCTGGGGATTCTTGTTTGCTCTGTTTTGGTGAAAATGCTTGAGGAGTGCTGTCCTTGGTAAAAATGACTAAAAGAGGTACACAGATATTCTTCAGAGAGTGATTCATGATAGCTATAGATAAGAAATAGCCTAAACATTCAGCAGTAATATAGTAAGTTGTGGTGAATACATTTGAAGGGCCACTATGTTATCATTAACAATAATAGTGGTAGAAAATGAAATTGAAAGATGTTCATATTTGTTAAATGTACAGAAAATGAAAGTGAGAAAACTGATATAAAGTATAGACTGTCTTTTTAAAATGTGGGTGTGTTTGTGGAGAAGAGTAGAACTGTCTAGAGCATCCATGCAGAGCTACATACTGTTAGACCTCCGAGATACCTTGGCTAAGTGAGCTCTTAGTATTAAAAAAGTGTCAGTCTCCCAAAATTAAGGTATACATTTAGTGCCATTCTGAAACCTCAAGGGATTGGAGGAGAGGGCCAAAGGAAATGATCTTAAATTTGTAAGAAATTTTTTTCAGTAAGTTTTTTTTTTTGAGTTGAAGTTTCACTCTGTCTCCGAGGCTGGAGTTTAGTGGCATGCTCATGGCCACCCCACTGTCCACCTGCTGGGCTCTGGCGATCCTTCCGCCTCAGCCTTCCAGGTAGCCAGAACTACAGGTGCGTGCTACCGTGCCTGGCTGATTTTTTATTTTATTGTAGAGATGAGGTCTCGCCCAGTTGCCCGGACTGGTCTCGAACCCGCAGGCTCAGGCAATCCACTCACCTTGGCCTCCCAAAGTGGTGGGATGACAGGGATGACAGGTGTGAGCCACCATGCCCGGCTGCTTGTTTTGTTTCTTTTTTTTTTTTGAGTTGGAGTGTCACTTTGTCGCCCAGACTGGAGTGCAGTGGCTGCTCCCGGCCACCACAGCCTCGACCTGCTGGGCTCCGGTGATCCTTCCGCCTCAGCCTTTCTAGCTGGAACTACAGGCGTGCGCTACCACACCCGGCTGATTTTTGATTTATTGTAGAGATGAGGTTTCGCTGCCCTGGCGGGTCTCGAACCCGTGGGCTCAGGTAATCCACTCACCTCAGCCTCCCAAAGGCGCGGGATTACAGGCTGAGCCACCAAGCCTGGCTTGTT